CGAAAGTGCTCGGATATACACAATATTTGGACAGTTTTTATACAATTTATCATCTGAAAAGAAAAGAAAATATTAGGTCGCTTGAGAAATTGTATAAAAAATTAAATCAAAGCACCTTGTTTGTCGTATTCAATGAAATGTGCATATATATATATATATATATATATATATATATATATATATATATAAATATATATGTATTGTATATATATATATATATATATATATATATATATATATGTGTGTGTATGTGTGTTTGTGTGTGTGCATATATGTATATGACGTATATATATATATATATATATATATATATATATATATATATACATTTCAGTCGACGATGCCTGCTATTGTCTGCGATTTGCCATGCTTCTCGTTGGCTTCATTATTATTTGGAAGTAAGAGGTTTTCCTGCTTTTATACTGGTTGTCACCCAAAGGCTGAACAGTCAGTTTACCCTGCGATTTAACCCATAGCTAAAGAGAGAGAGAGAGAGAGAGAGAGAGAGAGAGAGAGAGAGAAGAGATATATAGCCTTCTTTAACGCATTAGTGACAAAGTGAAAGCAAGTAATTAGATCCTAATTTGAAATAGGATTGCCAATTTCACTTTCCATACTGAGAAGTTTTATACTACTCAGAGACTAAATTAAGTAGTTTGTAACTGGACACTTTTGGACACTCATACTTTCGTCGCGTTTATAAATAATCCAAACACCACAGTTGATCAAAGATCTCTTCTCAGTCGCCTTATTACTTTCCTCTACTCACTGTTCCATGAGAAAAACTGGCTATTTAGTTACACATGAATTACAAATCATGGAAAGGCAAACGAGAGTCTATTGCTGGACGATCGTATTCATTAATCTTTCTGTTTCTTGCTTCACTAAATCACATTAAATCAATTCTTCTTATCAACAATGCCATTATAGAAACACCCACTACCTTAATGTCGCGAAACCTCTGAATAACCGCTCCGTTCACAAAACAAGTGTTTTATATTTGCGTTGGAGTTGGTGGATTTTATGAGATATCACCCTTTGTTGTGTCATTTAATGTATAAATTACACTTAAGTCCATAAGTAAACATTCGTCGGGTTTAAACTTGAATCTACAGGTAAATATTGGCCCGGTTTATAAGTGTGTATGGATAAATATTAGATGTGTTAATTCTTGAGACTTTAATAAATATTATCGGGTTTATATTTCAGCAAACACTCTTGTAGTGGATTCAATATTTTTTAGAATAAATTGATCTGCATAGTCAATTATAGCAAAATAAGAACAAATGTATTCTACCATTTGGCGAGAAAGACCTCCTCGAGAAACTAAGTAAAATAACCTGCTTCCCTGTAGCATCATCACGATCATTGCCTACCATGACCAGTGAACAATTTTGCACATAGAAAGGGTTTAATTCATTTTTTTTTTCTTCGGCATTTTCTTGCGGGCACGTTTATCCATCTTTGCCTATTTTTCTTCTTCAAAATTGTCTTCTCTCATTTGTCTGTTCTTTTGTTTACTGCAAAAAAAAAAAATAAAAAAAATAAAAAATAAAAAATACCTTCATGTTATTCGGTGTCGCCATTTTTGATACTTTTTTCCCCAGTCTCACGAATCATTTTTTATCTAGACTTTTCTTCCGGAAATTCTCAGTTGCACTTTTTCATTAATCAATCCATCACATTTTAAAAATTACCTATTATTTATTTTATATTTTGTGTATATTATGATATAATATATTATAATATATTACAATATTATATTAAATAATATTATATATATTATAATATTATATTATATAATATTATATATATTATGATATAATATATTATTATATATTATAATATTATATTATATAATATTATATATATATTATGATATAATTTTATATTATATTATGATATTATATTATTGTCATATAGGAAGAAAATGAGTAACTATCGGCACCAAAGTTCGCGTGTGGCACTCTGGATTTATAAATATATATTTTCTGCCAGGTGTATAAATAGCGGTGTCAGGCTACTGACTGTAGTGATTATTGAGTGACTGTTGAGTGGAACTATCCAGTCGAATTAGTGTGAATTATTGTACGTCGATGATTTGGGTTTTGATCAAAATTTACCGGTCGTTAAGCCAATCCGCTTTACTGACAAGGTATTAACTGAAATGGTTAATTATCTTTGGTTGACTTTTACTTCTTTGTTCTTGTTAAGTATTTACTTGCGATTGTAATTAAATAGTGTTTTATCTTAACATTGAAGTTTTGAGTTATTCTTAATCATTAACAGCCGCCGTACGTCATAAAAATAAGTAAATATTAGTTGAAATTATACTTACCTCTACAGGTAGATATTGGTCGTGGTTGAATTTGTATCTGTTAGTGTTATATACCGTATCTATGAACACTAATGGGTATGTCCCGACCCTCATAAATATGTGGGACACTATTGTAAGTGGGGGTAATATGTTGTCTAAGTAGTCCACTACTAGCAGTGGTTTACCTACTTCACGCCGCTGGCGAGAATTTTATTTTGTTGATGTTATAAAGATTACCATTTCCATTTCTAACATCCGTTTTGGTTGTTCCTCATTCAATAACGTTTTCTAAGTTACAAACTTAGTAAATATTTGTCGCTTTTATAATTGGGTTAAACTACACTACTCTCTATTAATCGCCATAGAGATCCTTCCCTGCCCCCCCCCCCAATTACAATGTCTGATAGTCAACTTCTTGACTTCTGCGCCTGCTCGGTCTCACGTTGACTGCTGACCTGAGATGGAACAAATACATTGAGTCAATTGCTTCGTCCACCGCGAGGAAAGTTGGCTCTCTGTGCCGCGCCAGGAAATTTTTATCCCCGGAATCGATACTTCAAATATATAAATCAACCATTCGCCCTTGCATGAAGTATTGCTGCCATATATGGTCTGGGGCACCTTCTGTTTACCTCGGAGTTCTTGACAAGATCCAGAGACGGATATGTAATATAATTCGCCCTGATCTGGCGTTTCGTCTACAGTCACTCTCTCACAGACGCGCCGTCGCCTCTCTCTGTCTTTTCTACAAATACTTCCATGGTAATTGCTCCGATGAGCTGCTTTCACTGGTTCCCAGACTTCATGAATTCAAGCGTCCTACGAGGCTGACATCCCGCTCCCACCCTTACACTGTAGAAACTTTTAAATGTAGCCGTCTCTTCTACTCCAATAGCTTCATACCTCGCACCTCTCGCCTGTGGAACACCCTTTTCAGTTACTGTTTCCCTGAGAGCTATAATCTCCAACTATTCAAATGTAATGTCAATTGACACCTCCAGTTACCTTGATCTACCCACTATCCTTCTCCTCATCCTTTCTTCTATCACTCCTATCTGCTCTCGCTCCAAATCTTCTGCAACCCCCTGCATCCTTGCTCGGGGCGTAATGCTTTAAAAAAAATAGGAAAATATTATTTGAACTTGTGTCAGTAAACATGTATTCTTCCTTAATATACCTGAGTCTATAGTAAATTGTGGCTGGGTTAATCCTTAAATCTGTTAGTACTTATTGGTTGAGTTTATGCTTGAGTCTTTACGAGCAATTTGGTCGGATTTATACTTGAGTTAAAAATGGTGGTATTTCTACTTGAGTCTATCAGTAAATATTTCTTGGTTTTCTGCTTGAGTCTTCTACAATCCACCCGGAAATTTGGCACCTTTTTGGCAGGTTCTTACACCTGTAAATGGGATCGAGCGTTATTGTATAGGGATATTTTAAAATAGAATTAAGGAATTCAAAACCAATATATAATTCGTTTTATCATATACATTTTTTTACTTCTGAATATTATTTCTTCTTTTGTTGTAAAGTGAGAATGGAAAAAAAAAAAAAGAAACAAAACTTGATTCGACTTTTTTTTTCTTTTATAATTTCCGCCGGATGTTCACTAAAATTCGCCTTATATGCCACGGAAAAAACATCAACAGGTAATATCTTTATAACTTTTATGAAAAATACCCAATCAAGCATATTCACGACCACCAAGAATTGCTATTATTGAGGGAAAATATTTTGGTTCTATCTACTCTCCAATGCCCAATATAGGCATTAGGTTATCCGTGATACACTTAAAGCTTAAAAAATGTGAAGGACGGACTACAACTACACAAAGAGCTGCACTCCAAATATTAAACAAATAAAATCATTTTATATACAAAATATGACTGCATATATATATATATATATATATATATATATATATATATATATATATATATATATAAGCGATAATAAATATATTAAATTTATATAAGTAAAAACTTTGCCACATAGAGAAGTTTAAACAAATAAGAAGTGGAGAGATAGAATAAAAAGTATTACCTGAAACGTTCCTAAGACGGACACGGTACAAACCTGTCTTATGAATTTGTTTTTTTTTATAAAACGCATTGGATTTGAGCTGCCAAGTGGACCTTAAGGGCCTCTTGAGTCATAAATATAGTTTTCTATCAAAATTGACTTCTATATCCCTATCTTAAATTTTGTTGTATGCCTTCTTCGTCAACAAAATGCTCCGTTATAATAAATGAGATTTATAACTTATCATATATCACCGATAACATAATATTAGCCACTTCCATCGAATTAGTGGCCATTAAATTACGACTATAACAAGTGGATAAAAGGAGAAAATAATTAGGAATGATTTTATTACTGGCTTAGAGCCACGCTGAAACAGCGTTTCACCGAAGTTAAGTAACATTGAGCCTGGTCAATACCTAGATGGGTGACCACTTGGGAATACCATGTGCTGTAAGCTTGGATGTGCAGGTGGTGTAATGGATACTGACTCGCAACTATTAATTGGAGAGCCAATTTCCCGTACGATCATCAAAGTTAAGCAACATCGAGCCTGGTCAGTACCTAGATGGGTGACTGCTTGGGAATACCATGTGTTGTAAGCTTGGATGTGCAGGTGGTGTAATGGATGCTGACTCGCAATTATTAATTGAGAGCCAATTTCCCGTACGATCATCAAAGTTAAGCAACATCGAGCCTGGTCAGTACCTAGATGGGTGACTGCTTGGGAATACCATGTGTTGTAAGCTTGGATGTGCAGGTGGTGTAATGGATACTGACTCGCAACTATTAATTGGAGAGCCAATTTCCCGTACGATCATCAAAGTTAAGCAACATCGAGCCTGGTCAGTACCTAGATGGGTTGACTGCTTGGGAATACCATGTGCTGTAAGCTTGGATGTGCAGGTGGTGTAATGGATGCTGACTCACAATTATTAATTGGAGAGCCTATTTTCCGTACGTTCATCGAAGTTGAGCAACATCGAGCCTAGTCAGAACCTAGATGGGTGACTGTAATCTTGGATGTGCAGGTTGTGTAATAGATAATGGCTCGGAATTGTTAATCGGAGAGCCGAGTTGCATTTCCAGTTTTGTTTATTTTATTCAGTTACGCGCAAATACACTTCGGAAAGATTGGAAGCTATTTTTTCTCCCAGTTATGGGTTAAATAGTAAGTGTTGTATCATCGAATCATTATTATCTCAAAAAAATCTTACAACCTTAAATTTTTCTGGCTTTCAATAACCTGCAAAGAGTTGATAAGCGGTAATCACTCAATCATTTTACTATAGAAATTTATTATAGATATGGCAATCTTATGAGTGCAGATTTTAGAAGATAGTGACGATTACGTTATGTACTGAAACGTTTTATTTTAGTAATTGAAAGTTGAAAAATGATTGTTTAGGAAGGCAATAAAAATCGTTTTATTCACACAAAAAATTGATTGATAATTTTTTATAGGTTTTATGGCTTATCAACCTTGTGGGTTGCTTAAAGCCGAAAGATCATTTCGATTGCAGAAGGTCACTTAAAATACCCAATGTTTTGCAGCTGTCTCCAATCAAAGTATTGATCAGGCTGGACACTGCTTAACTTCAGTGGTCGAATAAGAACCGGAAAAATGATGAAAGTTTATTGTAAGTGAAACCTACGCGACAAACAAAGCTAGTTTTAGTTTCGACTAACATTTTAACTGTCGAGGATTATGATTTTAGCTCAGACAGGGTGACAAGTATATCAACAAGAAAACATTTTCCGGGTCGATATTTATGGAATTGTTGCGCGTGTACAAATACCAGGTTTCAATGACAGAATAAGCAAAAGGGTGTCTACTTTTCTTGTCACATGCTAACTTGAGCCAATAGGATGAAATGCTGGGGAATATCGAAAAGGGAAAACTGTTCCATTTTGGACCTTGTGATTAGGTGAGCCAATTTGATTGATTTACTTGAGAGTGGAGTTAGTTCTTATGATCTCGATATTTAGATGTACAGTGACAGTAAATAGAGTTAGTGAAAGAGAATTATTTGCGGGGTTACAGTCAATTGATACCCTCAGCAATAATCAGAAAAGAAATCGGATGCTGAAGATTGATGTCTTCAAAAATAGCCTAAAACCAGACCAGCTGTTAATTCGTTTTTTCTCGAAGAATCGGTCTAACGTCATTCTTGTCACTGAAGTATAACCGAACATGCTCAATTTTATGAAAAATATTAAAATCTTGTTAATTGTTGCCAAGTGAGTTGAGTCGATTATTTTTTGTGAAGTTACAACAGGCTCGTAACAAACCAGATATTATATTAGACCGTTCACTTACTCTAGGATCCGTTTTGACGAGAGGCATTTCATCTATAACCTTGAAAACATAAATAACTACATCGTGGCTGTGGACGGGGCATCGTTGTAGCTCACTTGCAGTAGATGATAACTTATGACTAGTGTCATGGCGTGGCTTATAGAGATCAATTGTAATTTATTTGTAGAAATGAATTTGAAAAGAAAATTTTCAGTAGTCAGGAATTAATGTAAGAATTCGTCACGTGGTGTGCCGAGTGTCCGATATGAACTGACGGAGCCATTCCCTCTTCAGGCTGGCTTTGAATTCACATCTTTCATTCTTTTAGGCTGGTTGAAATCTAAAGAACCCACTATAATTAATTAGAGCTTCTAGTTGCTCAAGAACCAGTTTTGGTGAGAGGCGTTTCAACTATAGACGAAGTGGTAACCTTGAAAACCTAATCCCATTGTAGCTGTAGGAAGCCCTTCGTTGTAGGTTATTTGCAATAGACGATGGCCTACGAGTAGTGGCATGGCGTGGTTTATAGAGATCTATTATAAGTTATTTGTGGAAATGCATTTGCAAAGGAGAAAAATAAGAAATTTTTCAGTGGTCAGGAATTAATGTAAGGATTCGTCACGTCACATCACGGGGCCCGTTAGACTTGTAGTGGCACTAAACGTTCAGCAGTGGTGTGCCGAGTGTAAGATATGACCTGACGGAGTCAGTCCCTCTTCAAGCTGGCTTTGAATTCAAACTTTTACTTCTTGTCGACTGGTTGACATCAAAAACTACAGACTCCACTATAAACTGGTGTTAACCCATATCTGAAGAAAAGCAGATACATGCTTTTATAAAGACACTTTCTGTCCTGGGTAAGACGATAAACTACATCCGCGTCCTGGGTTTGACGATAAACTACATCAGCATCCTGGGTAAGACGATAAACTACATCCGCGTCCTGGGTTTGACGATAACCTACTTCCGCGTCCTGGGTAAGACGATAAACTACATCCGCGTCCTGGGTATGACGATAAACTACTTCCGCGTTCTAGGTAAGGCGATAAACTACATCCGCATCCTGGGTATGACGATAAACTACATCCGTGTCCTGGGTAAGAAGTTAAACTACACCGTGTACTGGGCAAGATGTTAAACTACATCCGCGTCCTGGGTATGACGATAAACTACATCCGCGTCCTGGGTATGACGATAAACTACATCTGCGTCCTGGGTATGAGATAATCTACATCCTGGGTTTGACGATAAACTACATCCGTGTCCTGGGTAAGAAGTTAAACTGCACCGTGTACTGGGAAAGATGTTAAACTACATCCGCGTCCTGGGTATGACGATAAACTACATCCGCATCCTGGGTATGACGATAAGCTACATCCGCGTCCTGGATATGACGATAAACTACATCCGACAGCAAGACCTCTAATCAGGAGTTTTTGAAGAGCTTGCTGGTGTTCCCAGGTCTATCCTAACCCAGGGTGTAGTGCCTGCTAAGGCCCCAGCTATGGGCAAATAGTTGACCCCCAAACTGGGGTCAAAACACTATGAAAGTGTAAAATTACGTTTTAATACTTGTAATACATTTTTGCAAAAAAAATATTACTAGTAATGAATTTTTGAAGAAAAAATTATTACCAGTAATATATTTTAGGAAAAAAAAATATTCCCAGCAGTACATTTTTGAAACAAATATTACTAGCAATAAAAAATTTTGTCAGCATTAAATATCCCATTGAGGGTGATAAGCCGTAACACAAAACAAAACAAACTATAGGCACTTGCTTGAATGGAACGGAAAGGATCGACTGGGATTTGAACCCGATTTGCCGTTTCCCTTTCTACGACGATAACCGTTGCACTGCCTGCAAGAATCTCACAGAATACAGATAAAGATTTTAGACAAGCAATGCGTGCAGATATTAAGGAAACGTCTCCCTTTGTGGAATTCATCACTTCGATCTGCGTTCTTGATCAGTTTGGAGCGTCGTAGAAATAAACTACCATGTAATTTCTGAGATTCGAAATCTGTTTGACTAACATTATTGGAAACATGTGCTTGGCTTTTGCAGCTTTGATAATAATAAAAAGCGTCAGTAATCTCGCCGTGAGATGGTTGTGTTCCGGCGTTGGGTAATGCCTCAAAAGCTCTTTTATTAGAAGTTATCGTCTGGCTGATAAGAAGCGATAAGCATTAGTTTGCCGTTGCTAATATACTAATGGTGTTTGCAGTTTTTACATTGCTTTAATCAAACAATCCTTTTCCTTAATGAAGTGATTCACTCTTTTTATAGTTTTCTGTCTTTCTCTTTTATCTCTCTAACTATGTCTACTTCTGTATTGTTATTTACTAAACGTAGTTTAAGTTTGGCACAAGGCCACAAATAATAGGCAGATAATGAGTACTAAGTCTCAAAACTTAGACTGCAATAATGGCCGGTTCCATGTATCCCCTCCTCTGAAAGTATCTGATTCCTCATATCATGCTTTATATTTACAAGACTCGGGTAAGACCATAAATATTCTGTTGCTGCCATATCTAAGATCCTAAGTCCTCATAATTCTAGCCTTGAAATAGTTCAAACATTTTCATATGATCTTGTGGGTGACCAATTATTTTCCGCCATACAACCCCAGATGAAATGTCGGAACACCCTCCGTTATTTTTTTTTAAAATTTCACTCAAGCAAGGCAACAAAGCCGCTAAGACGTAGGGGGGGGTTACTGATTGTGAAAGAATATATAAAAAAGAAAACACATTATTAAGGAACAAGAACAATAAAATAAAAGAAATAAAGATGACGATTGGCATTTCATTTACATTTTTGACAATCAAACTTCACTGGAAGCAAGAATCCGGAAGAGAGTTCCACAAGCGAGAAGTGCGAGAGAAGAAACTGTTAGCATAGAACTTACGGTTACATCTAGCCATTTCAACTGTAAAATGATGAGCTCTTGCTGGTAATCTAGTACTGCGCTAAATTTCATAAAGTCTAGGTGGCACAGAGAACATTTCCTTAGAAATACGACTTTAATGTTTATAGAAAAGGCACAAGGTAGCTACATTACGGTTGTGGAAAGGTGACTGAAGCCGAGTTGCTAGGTTAAGGCTAATTATATAGCAGGAGCAACAGACCAGATGTGGCAGCAATATTCCAAGCATTGACGAATGCTAGAATGCAGTGAATCAATCTTCCCAGCAACAGAACTAGCAATCTTATCCTCTTCAAGCCTCGAGTCCACCGTTATCTACTTTTAGCATCATCGTTCATATCCCTCTACCTTGAGTGGCTCTTGCACTTTGTATCAAATGAACATTAGTAAAAAAAAATAAATCCGTTTCCTCAAGTGTTCCTCTTCACCTGTATCAAAATTATCTTTCATTCGCTGCCATATAGGAAGATTGATATCACATAGCAGTTTAGTTCACCTTTCTTTGTTTTTAACGAAA